GGCGGGGCCGGGCCCTGGGAGGGGCCGGAGAGCCGGGCGCGGGTGCGCGGGAGTGACCCAACCGGACCGTGCCGGCATGGGCTGGCCGGAGCGGGGCCCATTTGGCCTCCTTGGGGGTGGGCACGGGGTGAAGTTGGGGTGAAGTTCTGAGGAGTAGGACCGGGGCGGCACACGCGTGAGGCTCGGGCCTTCTACGTGCCCACGCGTGCCGTGCACGCCAGTGTGCCAGTGCGGACACGCGCGGGGCAGCCATCCACTCCCGGGACGCGCGGGGGCAAGACGGAGGCGCTCGGGTGGCTCCCTCCTCTCCCCTCCCGTCCCGGGAAGGGGTCTTGGCGACATCGAGACCTCTGACTCCCACGCACCCACCCCACGGGGGTGACATCATAGCTTTCGGTCCCTATGGCAACGAGCGGCCTGGTTGGGGTCTGTGGTGACTTATCAGCGAGCCGGGCGAGCTGGGAGGCGCGGACTGAGTTCCTCCGGCCAGACGCTGAGTGGAAAGTTTTGGGGGAGCTGCGTCCTCTGGTGGATGTTCCGGGAGACGGAAACGAAGGAAGACATAATTCCCCAAAGTGACAGCCCGGGCGGAGCCAGAAGCAAGCCCTAAATGACTCGATCCGGAGTTTAACCCTAGTGAAAGCCCCGCCTCTTTGCAAGGCATCTTTTAACGCTTTTAGGCGCTTCCTTATCCTCGATTTCATTTTATGTTTATACAATCTGGTAACGATAACTAAAAACGAGCAACGTCACCATTTGACAGAAGGGAACATCGAGGTCCAGAGCATTGCAAATCAAAATCAGATTGGAGCGCAGTCCCTGTGCTCCCAGCTTGCCCTGCAAAACCACACTGAATGGGGTCTCATCCGTGCCCCAAGGTTACCTACGGGGAGTCACCGCTTCAGGTACAAATGGGTTGGATTTCAATCCAAAGGTAGCTGATTCCTCAAATCTGATGTTAATTCAGGTCTTGAGATTTTGCTTCAGGCTGCTCTTTTAACTGTCTTTTCATCTGCATGCGTTTTTACAAAGGAAATCGTGGTCCGCGTGGGCTCGCGCGTGTCTCGCTGACGTTCCATTGGTGCACTTTTCGCGCTCGCGCTCCCGTGGCGCGCCGGTAACCAAGACTCTGGCCCTTTAAGTGGGAGCGCGAGC